TTTTTTTGAAAATTTTGGCCCATTTGACCTTGAAGTAAAGGTCAAAGGTCAAATCCAAGGGTATATTTGAAATCTACACATATGACTTTTGGAAAGCCGTCTATAGAAATTTTTCCCATAACTCCTTCCGTAGGGTAGATAATTAGCATTTAATTTTGCCATTTTTAGACAAGGGTGCATTGCAATGAGTGCCACACCCAGACCCCAATACCGACAAAGCCCAAATTTTACGTGGAACGAGTTGAGATTATAGGTGACCTAAAACCATGAGATGGGTACGGGGGCCCTTACCGTCTAGGAGGAGAAGCGGTAACGGTAGCCGTCCGGCGGAGCCAACGGAGCCGGCGGAGCCGGCGGAGCCGGCGGAACGATCCGGACGGGACCGAAACCATGTGTACCGCCAGCGCTAACGCTGGTGGTACAATTACAGGCAACGCCTTGGGAAGGCAGCATGCATAATCGAGGGGATTACTAAAAATAATCTTGTCGCACAACTCTATTACACTGCATACTTCAAGCATTTTGTTAAAAACATGCAGCTAATCATATTTGCAAAACAAGATATATGTGAGGAATCTTTCACCAAAAGTCACTTAAATATAAATGTAATGGCCATTAAACTGGACAGATTTCTTTCATAGCAGTAATAATAGCCGCCAGTATGCTCATATTTTTACATGTATGACCTGAGCTAAAGAGAAGCACAGTAGGACTATTTCACCAGCCTCCACACAATTCTATGGTGAGAACAGAGTCAGGAAATTTATGTATTTCTTTTTCTTTATTTTATATTTTTTTCTGCTGGATGCAGCACCAGGACATAAATATTAGGAAAATTGGACCGTGACTTCTTTGTTGACTGAGTGATTCAATACCCAAGGTTTCACAACTACTAAAATACCAAAGAGACAGTCAGATATGGCAAAGGCACTGGCAGCAGCTTTCACAGATATCATAATCTCTTAACGTGCAATATCTGTCTGAGTGAGTATGAGGACCCCTGTGTACTACCTTGCAACCACACATTTTGCTATAGTTGTATATCTAGCCATGCCCAAATATCTCTCACTCCAAACCAGACATTTCTATGCCCCAAGTGCCAGGAGGACATCCAGCTTCCAGATGGTGGCCTTACCCAACTGAAGAAGAACTTTGATTTTAGCAAGGCCAATGACATCAATACCCAGCAACAAGAGAGACAGGCATTAGAAGAGGAACAGACCAATGTAGCACAGGGCACTGCACAGAAGAACATCAGTTGTGAGAAACATCCTAATAATGAATTAAAATTTTACTGTGACGATGATGATATTGTTATATGTGGTGAGTGTATAGCAACAGGGCATGGTGGACATCGTATTTCATCAGTTGATAAAGCTGCAAAAAGCAACAGAGATAAAATTAAGTCACAACCTCCATTAGCTGAACAGGGAACAAATCCAAAATCAGCAGCACATTCCGTTTTCTTAGAGAAGGCAGAATGTGTGCACTCTTTCAGTGCTAAGCTGAAAAATACTAGAGGAATAAGTACAAATGGATTGGCCATACATGAGGAACAAGTGTTTTTTTTGGATTGCGCAAATAGCAGAACAAAAATGTTCACACATACTGGAGTGTTCAAGTTTGACATTCCACTCAGCAGACCATTTGATTTAGCTATGTCACAGACTGGTCACCTGTATATAACATCACAGGGTGACAGCTGTGTCCAAGTGTACTCCACCAGAGGTCAGCAGGTGTCAACCATGGGTCAGAGTCATCTAGGGAGGCCATATGGTATTACACTGAACAAACAAGGTCATGTGATGGTTTGTGACATGAGACAAAAATCCATCTTCACATTCCATGATGCCAGTGATAAGCTCCTGAACACCATTCCACTCAGTATGTGTACAGACCCATGGTACATCACAGTGAACAGTGTGAATGATAACATTGTGATATCAGACGCAGGCAGTCACTGTGTGTATGTGTTGTCACCTACTGGTGATCAGCTATACCAGTATGGCACACAAGGCAGAGGTGATGGTCAGCTGTGGGGACCACGTGGAGTTTGCACAGACAGACATGGTCACATCTTCATTGCTGACTGTAATAACGACAGGATAGTGGCACTGAGTCCACAGGGGCAGTTTATCAGATACATTGTCAATAAGAAAGCTGGATTGCAGCGTCCCATGGCATTAGCCATCAACCCTGCTGGTCAGCTGGTGGTAGCAGAAGATGGGGGCAAAGTTAACATATTCCAGTACATAACTACTGATCACACTGAACACTGATGAATAGATGAATTTATGTGTTAAATTTTCATGTGTTTCTAAGCCAAATTAAAACTGGACATGATAAAAAAGGCCATCCAGTCAGCAAATTGGTGTCCAAGCTTTCTGGGGAACAACATTCATATATATAATTTGTATTTAAACCTACCCTAATTTAACTAATATTTATTCATAATTGTATTCTATATCTAAAATATTGTGAGACAAAAGAGGCAATTATCATATTCCCAGAATTTTTTTTCTTAAAAAAAAAAAAAAAAAAAAAAAAAAAAAAAAAAAAAGCTTTCATCTATTCTAAATAATGGATTCTTATAAATCGTATTAGGAGCTCCCCACTCTTCCCCAACACCACCGCCATAACACACATTATCAATGCAACAACCTGCTATGGAATCATTTATAACATATATGGGTNCCCATCTCTGAGATTATAGGTGACCTAAATCCAAGAGATGGGTACGGGGGCCCTTTCCGTCTAGGAGGAAAAGCGGTAACGGTAGCCGTCCGGCGGAGCCGGCAGAACGATCCAGACGAGACTGAAACCATGTGTACTGCCAGCGCTAACGCTGGTGGTACAATAATTACAGGCAACACCTTGGGAAGGCAGCATGCATAATCGAGGGGGTTACTAAAAATAATCTTGTCGCACAACTCTATTACACTGCATATTTCAAGCATTTTCATTTTTGTTAAAAAGATGCAGTTAATCATATTTGCAAAACAAGATATATGTGAGGAATCTTTCACCAAAAGTCACTATAATATAAATGTAAATGGCCATTTAACTAGACAGATTTCTTTCATAGCAGTAATAGCCACCAGCATGCTCATATTTTTACATGTATGATCTGAGCTAAAAAGTAAATACACACAGTATGACTACGTCACCAGCCACCACACAATTCTACCGTGAGAACAGTCAGGAAATTTATATTTTCTTTTTCATTATTTTATATTTATATTTTTTCTTTAGCTTAGAGCAGTTCTAAGCGGAAAGAATGAAACAGAAAGCATATTTCAACAATACCTACCAGCATGCTTCTATAACCTGAGCTAAAGAGTAAACACAGTATTACAAAGTCACCAGTCACCTTACAATGCTATGCTAGTATGCTAAGGTTAATATAGGGAAATTCCATATTTTTCTCTAGCTTACAGCAGCTCTAAAAGGGGAAGGAAGAAACAGGACATATATTTCAGGTATTTGGTTAAAAAACTTTGAAAAATATGCCAGTAAGCTAGTTAAATGGTACAGTGATTGAGTGTTCATCAAAGCTGCAGAACCAGGAAGTAAATATTAGGAAAATAAGAATTACTAGACCGTGACTTCTTTGTTGACTGAGTGATTCAATACTTAAGGTTTCACAACTAGTAAAATAACAAAGAGACAGTCAGATATGGCAAAGGCACTGGCAGCAGCTTTTACAGATAATCTCTTAACGTGCAATATCTGTCTAGAGGAGTATGAGGACCCCCGTGTGCTGCCCTGCAACCACACATTTTGCTATGGTTGTATATCTAGCCACGCCCAAATATCTATCACTCCAAATCTGACATTTCTATGCCCCAATTGCCGGGAGGAAATCAAGCTTCCAGATGGTGGCCTTACCCAATTGAAAAAGAACTTTGCTTTTAGCAAGGCCAAGGACATCATAACCCAGCAACAAGAGAGGCAGACATTAGAAGAGGAACAGACCAATGTAGCATCAGTGGCACAGGGCACTGCACAGAAGAACATCAGTTGTAAAAAACATCCTAATAATGAATTAAAATTTTACTGTGACGATGACGATACTGTTATATGTGGTGAGTGTATAGCAACAGAGCATGGCGGACATCGTATTTCACCTGTTGATAAAGCTACAAAAAGCAACAGAGATAAAACTGAGTCACAACCTCCATTAGCTAGACAGGGAACAAATCCAAAATCAGTACCACATCCTTCTGTTTTCTTAGAGAAGGCAGAATGTGTGCACTCTTTCAGTGCTAAGCTGAAAAATACTAGAGGAATAAGTACAAATGGATTGGCCATAGATGAGGAACAAGTGTTTGTTTTGGATTGCGCGAATAGCAGAACAAAAATGTTTACACATACTGGAGTGTTCAAGTTTGACATTCAACTCAGCAGACCATTTGATGTGGCTATGTCACAGACTGGTCACCTGTATGTAACATCACAGGGTGACAGCTGTGTCCAGGTGTACTCCACCAGAGGTCAGCAGGTGACAACCATGGGTCAGAGTCATCTAGGAAGGCCATGTGGTATTACACTGAACAGACAAGGTCATATGATGGTTAGTGACACGAGACAAAAATCCATCTTCACATTCCATGACGCTAGTGGACATCTTCTGAACACTATTCCTCTCAGTATGTGTAGAGACCCATGGTACATCACAGTGAACAGTGTGAATGATAACATTGTGATATCAGACGCAGGCAGTCACTGTGTGTATGTGTTGTCACCTACTGGTGATCAGCTATACCAGTATGGCACACAAGGCAGAGGTGATGGTCAGCTGTGGGGACCACGTGGAGTTTGCACAGACAGACGTGGTCACATCTTCATTGCTGACTGTTTTAACCGCAGGATAGTGGCACTGAGTCCACAGGGGCAGTTTATCAGATACATTGTCACTGAAGATGATGGGCTGCAGTCTCCCATGGCAGTAGCCATCAACCCTGCTGGCCAACTGGTGGTGGCAGAAGATGGGGGCAAAGTTAAGACATTTCAGTACATATTATAACTACTGATCACACTGAACACTGATGAAAAGATATCATAATACTGATCAAAATGTTCATTAGCTTACTACAACACGGAAAATGTAAACTTATGTTGCAATCTTAGTGTTAAGAATCCTGGAATGTCTTTTGCGTTGCACTTGCTGATATAGATAAAAACACATGGCAAAAAGCTAAGTACGAATGATACAGCTGCAGGACTTGACATTAACTTTTTGGAGGTACTTGTGGGCAAGTAGGTCTGAAAATCTACGTGCATAACTCTAAAATCTACTTGCCCAACTCCAAGTCGTATTTAAGATACGATATTTATATTAAGATATTTTTAGTATTTAAGAAAGCCCCTCAATGCCCCCCCCCCTCTCACTTGGAGTCAGGCAAGTAGATTTTAGAGTTATGCACGTAGATTTTCAGATCTACTTGCCCGACTCCAAGTTCTTCTAAGATTAGACCTCCAAATATTTTAAACTTAAGATTTTATGTTTCTGTGCAGGGGGAGGGGCTACTTAGAAATATCTGAATTCTGAAGCTTGAAGGTAGATTTTAATGGCTTCTCCACCAAGAAAATAACAATAATTAATTGTATATTCTAAATGACCACCACTTTTGTGGAACCCACAAATACTATAAATAGGCCAGGATATGTGGCCAGTGTAGTCCAATATGTGGGCTGTTCACTGATTGAAAATTTGAATGTGGAAAACTTATAAGTCCACTTGCTACACGCAAAAACAGGAGGGGGGGGGGGGTAAAATTCAAGAATAATGGGCTTGTTAAATCTATTACTTTAAATAGTGTTAGTGTGTGTGTGTGTGTGTGTGGGGAGGGGGGGGGGTGACAGAAACTTAAATGCCCCACTCAAAAATCACAATTTAAAATGGGTAATGTTTCTTTTTAAATTTTTATGCTGACCAAGAACGCAGAAACAGCTAGCATGTTTCAAAGGAATGTTTTTCTTTCAAAAAAAAAAAAATTAAAAAAATTAAAAAAAAGGAAAAACTGGCTTTCATCTCATTTAAATAATGGCCTCTTATAAATCATATTAGGAGCTCCCCACTCTTCCGCAACACTACCACCATGACAATGTGCAACCTGCTATGGAATATTTTATAATATATATATATATATATACTTCTTTCTGGGAAGAAGATATTTTCTCGCTTCACGGACCATCCAGCAATATTTCATGACATCAAATGTGAGGAAGTGAAAGGGGGGGGGGGAGAGTCAGGGAGGGAGCATATCAAAGATTTTTACTTACCTGTTCCATATATGTCATTCTGTACTGGTCTAGCTTTCTGTTCCATATATGTCATTCTGTACTGGTCTAGCTTTCTGTTCCATATATGTCATTCTGTACTGGTCTAGCTTTCTGTACTTACCTGTTCTATATATGTCATTCTGTACTGGTCTAGCTCTCTGTACTTACCTGTTCCATATATGTCATTCTGTATTGGTCCAGCTTTCTGTACTTACCTGTTCCATATATGTCATTCTGTACTGGTCTAGCTTTCTGTACTTACCTGTTCCATATATGTCATTCTGTACTGGTCTAGCTTTTACCTGTTCCATATATGTCATTCTGTATTGGTCCAGCTTTCTGTTCATCATTTCATGCTCATCATCATATTCTGCTATCTTCTTCCTGTAGTATTCTAACAGCTCTCTGGATGGCCTCACATAGCCTGGTAGGAAAAGAACAAGAACCAGGCTATGTGATGTTGCTGACTTCAGATGTATAGGTGTGATGAAGGTTAAACATGTGCCTGACATTATTCCCTTAACTAAATCCCACAGAAAAAAATGATTGCTGCCAACACAACAACAGTAACTGCTCAATCTTTTCAATGGGGGGACATTGGGAATTTTACAAAAACTGTATATTCAAGTCATAATTTCTTTAAATTAGAACATTTCCACCGATTGGTAGCGTCAAAATTCAAAAGTAATCTATAGTTTTATTCTATGCATAAAAGCACCACAAAATGCTATATAGAATTTTTTTTTGTTATTATAAAATAATGTACCTGAAATTTTGATATTTTTTGCCCATTGAAAAGACTGAGTAATTCCTTTACCTATTTATGGTCAATCTATCCTTTTTTTTTACTATGACCAAATCAATTACATATTGTCCAATGAAAAATAAGTGAAGTGGAATGTCTGGTCTATTTGTTCATCAACACAGAGACAAGAAAATCAACTGTATATTAACTAAGCCTCTCATTGACGTCAGGAATTGGTGTGTCCTCCTCTTCATTCTTCACTTCCATATTGTCAGGGTTAGATGTCCGACTTGCCAGACTGGTCTGCAGTGAAGAGTCAGGAGACTGGCGGGACCTCCTTGATAATGGTGTCACAGGTTGCCTGAAAGTAAAATACAAAATCGTTTCAAAATTAAAGTGCTATATGATAAAATATAAGTTTTTTTTATTTTTTTATTTTTTTACAGAATTCATTAACTGATTTCTCATGTTGAAATAAAGAGATTGGAGATTCAAGCAATTTGTTGAATTAATCATTAAATACCTGTAACTGCTAGTATTCCTTTCCTGAACCAAATTACTGGCCAATCTTATCTACATTTTAGTAAATATTTCCATAAGTACCTCGCTATCTTAACCAAACTATATGCACTGGTTTTCAAGACTTACAAGGCGTTCAGATATTTGACCTTAAAAATATTTTAACAAATTTAAATTGACCTCATCACAAACCAGTTTTCAAATATTTTGTTACATCTCTTTTCCATGACCTGACATACTGCTGATCAGAACAGAAAACACTTTGGCCATCATTAGAATAATTTATTTTCCCCAAAGTATTTTTTTTAACTTGTGAAGTTGTGCAATTTAAGTACTGAAAATGCTTAACTAAGGCTATTTGTCTATGGGGACGGTTATATCGTCTAAAAGATATACTAATTTGAATCAAGTTAAATTTGCAGGCTTATGAACTACTACATAAAGTCTTCTTTAGTAAGTATACAATGAAATTTACTCCAAACTCTACGGTAGTTTACCTTCTCCCGGAAGTTGCCATTTTCGAAACAAGCGCCTTTGGCAACAAATGAAGATCTGAGATATTATTGGACAAATCTCTGTAATAAATTTGAAGTTATTCGAATCAATCACCCTGTTCAATATTAATTTCAACCTTTTTTCAGATTATAAGTCGCTCCAACATAATATTTGTTTTTCGGCCAATATATAATTGAAATTTAAATCCCCTATTTATCGAACCATGTTAGCGCTTTTATTTACTCCCATCTTTAACGCTGAAGGACTACGTTTCATATCAATGCGCCGATTATAAACAATATTACAATTTACGAAACAAATAAAGAATACACTGAGTGTAACGTTTTTCTTATGTATTTTACATATTTTCCAATCATTAAAATTAATATGCGAGCCATTAATTTAAAAATAAAGTGTTTCCTGTTGTTAGTTTTTATGGTGCCCTCCGCATAATTGGCGTGAAACGGCACCATGAATTCTGACAACATTGCTGCCAAAATCGTAAAAAAAATTGCCTAAAACTCGCAACGCCAGAGATATCACGAGGCAACACGCACATGAACGGATAAAGAACGTACAGAACTAGCCATGGATAGGCTCGATAGACAAAACGGATTTATAACACCACCAGACGCACCGATTTTCGAGCCGACTGAGGAAGAATTTACCGATCCGCTGGCTTACATTGCTAAAATTCGACCTGTAGCCGAAAAATATGGAATATGCAAAATAAAACCCCCACAGGTATGTTAGTACGATCTAGTTTAACTAGCTTGGACTCCTTAAGTCGACGATTTGAATGCTCTGTTGGTGGCGACGTGTCGAACCACCACAGTGTCATGGCTGCATTTTTACGGCAGCCACCTTGCTCAGCGCAAGCCAAATGAGGTCGACGCCAAACATGGCGACCCCTTTGTTCAGCATACGCCCAGAATCAGCTCAGATTTTTTTCAACAATGTTTATACGTGAGTTTAAATTTACCCATTAGTTCTGCGTGTGTTTTGCAATGGATATAACTTTATATTTGTTGAAAAACATTAGAAACGTTGTTTCAAAGAAAATTTGGTTACACAATATTCTGTAGACAGGAATATTACTCATAGCCTTGGGTTATTTTCCCCTTTTATTTTAATAGAATTTTTTAGTGCAAAATAACTGTTTAGTGTTTTGAAAATTCGTTTTCAAGTATTGGAAACTAAATTTTTTTAAATAAACATATTACCTTAGAATTTTTAAAGTACATGTTTAACATTTTTCATCACTTTTATTATGAAAAGATCATAAGTGCATGTTCTGATTGGCATTTCTGTTCACTTTGTTACAATTAAATATTTATGGCTAAATAAAGTATAAATTTTTAGAGTTAGGTTCCAAATATTTTAATTGTAAGAGAAGTAAGCCATTATATTAACTGTTTTTTTTTTCCTTAATTAATTGGAATAAATGAGAATTGAATTTGTACATGAAGAAAAAGCTATGTCATCTTTTTCTGATGTATAATTATTATATACTGTTAAATAGAAAATCAAACATATCAAAAACTTTGAGGTAATTATTGAGCCGGCCTTGATTTACATGAAGCATGACTGCGTTTATCAATTTCTAGTAGCAAGTTGTATTTGGGTCATCATAGTTGAAATATGAGATGTGCAGAAATGAAATTTGGTCTTTCAGATGTTAAATTTCCATCATATTTAAAATCTTGACCTCAACTGAATCAGCTTTGAAATCGGGGTCAATATTGTTTTCAAGTATTGAAAATAACTTACTAGTAACTGTACTGAAGAAAGTGATAAGAACTTTTTTTTCAATTTATTGGTTCAAATCAGATATTTTCAGCTCGGTAGGTTGAGCATAGTTTAGGCTAAACTCATTTTAACTGGAACAAGACTATTTATGAAATAACATCAAGAAAACAAGAAAATACTTGAAGCTTTTTATTATTTTCTTTTCCATTTGTCTGGAGATGATATATACAGTTCTGATAATATCATATCAACAAATTTCAGGAATGGCAGCCACCTTTTGCTGTAGATGTGGACAATTTCAGATTTGTACCAAGGGTTCAAAGACTTAACGAATTAGAGGTAAGACCTTTTTTTACAAGGATAAAGTGAACAATTGATGTTTTATTTAGCTTGGATAAAATTGGTAACTGGTTAAAGGTGAACTGAAATGATTTTATTATTTTTTTTTTTACTAAAGATAAAATCAATCTTTTTCAAGAGTATGATATGAGGTTTATATTTATATAGAAGGGAAACAGAATTATAACTGAGATAAAAGATTATCTAGATATTTTATTTCTATTTGGATATGCTTGATAAAATGGGTTAAAGCACAGGTTTAGTTTTTGCCATGCACAGAAACCATACAAGGTCGGTAATAACCTGTTTCTAACAGTCATCATTTGTGGACAGGGAATTTTCAGTTGTATATTTTCATGCTGCTGATTCATTCCACTGTCAACAACCCCTCTAAACTACTGCTGACAGATATTAGAATTACTTCACTCTTAGATAGAATGACCAGAATTTATCCAAGCATGGTATCATGTCTGTTGTAGTTAGTTAAAAACATGTTCAGATATTAGTTTAGCTCAGTACCACTAGGTGCTTACTAGTAACATTGTGGTGTTTGGATGAAATAGGGGCCTGTTCATGTTTGGGTAATGTAAGTTAGACCCTGCTAGACTCTTTACCCTTGACTAGTGAAGAAAAGTGTATTTAGCATTTTTGGATATTTGGCTGTTAAGGTTTCAAGTACTAGTATGTCAAAGACATGGTATTTGTAAGTAACTGAAAAGTGTTAGTATTAAAAGTGCATGAGGATGTCTTGACTTTGTGCTATAGATGTTATAACAGATGGCTGCAGTTTGCAAAATGTGCAAAGTTTTGAGTAGAGCAGCAGCAGCATTCACCACTTTACAGATACTTACAAAATCGCTGCGCGCATGCGTGAGAATTGCATTGTGGGAAAAAATACAGCAAAACAAAAACAGCGAGTATCCGAATAATGGAGAATAACCTCGACGATCACACACTCAGGTCCATGATTGTAAAATTAGCGGGAAATTACCTTTCTCGATACCTTCTATCATTTCTGCAACTTGAAACATAGCAGGTAGTCATTATTTGTGTTCAAGAGCCTTCGCGCCATGAGTTCACGCTCTTTTTCCCCCCCCACAATGCAGTTCGAGTTTCCTGTCGACGTACAACTGTAAAGTGATGAATGCACTGAGATATCCCATTTGCTTGTGATATCACTACTTCAGAAAACAGCGTATTAAGAGAAAGTTTGAGGATTAAATGTGAAGTACAATTTTGATTTTATTCCATAGATAAAAAAATTATCAGAGGCTCAAATGTGTAGCAAGGTAGCTTAAGAACCTAATATTATAACCTAATTACATCCTTAAATAAGATACAGTATTAGGAACCCAGGGGCAATGGTAGGGGGGGGGAGAGAAAGTTTTACCATGAATCAGTGTCTTCAGAAAAAAAATCCAGAAATATCCTCAGCTTGATGCCCAGACAACATCTGCATTCAGAGGAGATAGTATTGATTTTTCTTTATGCAACCCTTCTACTGCACAGCATACTGCCCATAGAAAGTCATTAATATCCTTTTCCCATGGGTTCAATATCAAAAAGATCAACTGTGGCCTCAGAAATCTGCTTACATTTTTGGTACCTGTATATTATTCATGTTCAGATTTATGAAGAATGGTGCTTAGTGCCCTGAGTGAGTGTATTCATGAGGGAAGTCAACTGTAGCAGTCTGTCTGGTCTGTAAGCAAAGTTTACAGCTTGATGTGGTAACAGTGTTCTGTACCATCATTTTTTGGGGCCAGTTTTGGTTGTTTACAGTTGTAACAACCTGCCTGTGCAGTATGTGGGATAGAAAAAGCCCACACATTGATTGAATACCTGGAATGGCTTTTCAAGACAAATTCCAATGGTAGGACCCCTGGAATAGTGTTGCAAGAGCATTGAAAAATAAACTTTTTTCTTACATTCTGTAGACATGTTAATAAGCTCTGAAAAAATGGTTACATGTCGATATGTCCCTGCACCGATACTCCCCCACACTATACATCCCCGCACCAATACTTCCCCGCACCGATACTCCCCTACAATTACAGATATACTGAGGGGGGGGGGGGTATTGGTAAGGGGTCGTATCGATGCGCATAATACAAAAAATTACTAAGGGGGATTATCGGTGCGGGGGAGTAACGATGCAGGGGAGTATTGACATGACCCCAATGTATTTGTATTTGTCCAATGTATTCTGTTTGCTGTTATTCATAATGAGGATGGACTTGTGGCTGATTGTGTGGATTTAAACATGATGCATCAGCTATCTGATACTTTAAATTTTTTTATTTGGAGTCAAAAAGACAGTCTTCAGAAATATTTCTCTTAATCACAGCTCGGTCAAAGAGTTCCCCCACACTGAATTGAGAGTGCTTCTGTGTTATTTGACGCACATGCCAACTTAGATTTTTTTTTCTATTTTTAGGCTGGCTCCAGAGTGAAGCTGAACTTTTTGGATCAGTTGGCAAAGTTCTGGGAACTGCAGGTGGGTTTTTCTGATCTATCAAATTGTTTAGTTTGATAGAAATGCTTTACTAGTATAGCTGAAAAAACAAAAGATGGCAATAAAATAGTTTAGAAGATCCAGGTATTGTTTCTGGCAGAAGACTGTCAGTGTCAAATATGTCAATGTATCCCATGGCATTATGATAATTACAACACAATTATGTAGCATATTTATATATAGTGTATAAGGAACAGGTTGGCTTCCTCAGCATGCTAGAATTAAACAGTTATGATTACAGCTATCTCTGTTCCATTGTGGAAGTAGATGATGGGGTTGAATAATACCAAAAGTTTACTTATTCAGAATAACAATGTGGCATTTTCAGAAGGCTAATATTAGATACAATGTCTTAAAATGGAAAAGAAAATTGACAAGCAACAAACATTGTATAGTTACATATATTTTTTCGATGTTAAATGTTTTTATAACCAGGTTGTTGGCCAGCTGTTGATGCCCCACTTTGACATTACACTTTGACAACCAGTGGCACAATGGCTGAGGTGTCAGCTGTGCTTGGCAGAGTTTATATGACAGAAAAAAACCTGTAACAGCTGTCTGTTACATATAAAACACCAGTTTATATACACAAAATACTGGAAGCAAGTCAGAGATTTTATGATAGAAAAAAGACCTCTAGCAACTGCCTGTTGAATATTTAACACCAGTTTAAATGCACAGTTTGCAGGAGTTAAATCTCAGTGAATTTTGTCTAAAAAATTATATCTGTACATTCCATTTGTCACACAATGTGGTTTTAAATATAACATGAAACTGGTTCCCTACTACTGGTACTTGACATTGTATCTAATTATACCAGACCCGCAGTTTGGGGCACGTTTGGAATCATTGGCTTATAAATCAATATCTTAAGGTGTAAATTTCATATTTTTAGGAAAAATGGCAATAACCTTTATTGGTTTTAACATATTTTTCACAGAAAGGCTGTAACCTTACAATATTTATCCATATTATGTATTATGACTTATAAATCTATAAAGAAAAACTTACAAATAGTGGTTAACCAAGTTGCTTAGAGGAAACCATTTTGTCAAAGCATGATTTCCAGTGACAGTGTTTAGTTATTGTATAGCTGTGAGTTTTCTTTATAGTATAGTCATTTCTTAACAGTAAGAATTATTTGGAAGATTTTATTTCTAGTTACAATCTTTTCAACATTATTTCAGCTCTGTCAGACTGTGTTATAGTAATAGTCTTGTTTTCTACAGGGCACCCACCTGCGTATCCCCAATATAGAGAGGAAGGCTCTGGACCTGTTCAAACTCCACAAGACTGTGCAGGATGAGGGGGGCTTTGAGACAGTCAGCAGGGACAGGAAGTGGACCAAGGTGTCCAATGTCATGGGCTATCCTCATGGAAGAGGGGTGGGCTCTATCCTCCGGGGACATTATGAGAGGATGCTCTACCCCTTTGACATCTTCCGCTCTGGAGCCACTTTGGACCCCTCGGTATGTATGGGTGGGGTTGGGTGGACAGATATTTTGGACCCCTCTGTTCATGTTTTCATGTAGCATGGAAGCAGGACACATGTTGAGTTCACTAGAGCATTCACCGAGTAAAATTCAATCAATCCATCAGGTACCAGCCTTGCAGGCATTCTGTATAATATCTGTATATGTATATTCTGTATTATTTCTCTATCTATTCTGTGTTATATCTCTGTATTTGGTATTATATTATATACTGCTGTATATCTCTGTCTATATATTCTGTATAATATTCTGTATATTCTGTATACTGTCTGTATCTAGGCATCCAAGCGTGACAACCTGGTCTATGATGATGATGACAAGAAGAAGGATGAGGACTACAGACCCCATGGAGTGTCCACCAAGGGTCAGGCGGCCAGCAGTCGTAGGTCTAAGAGGTACAACAGGGATGTCTCTTCTCCTGAACCAAGCCCTGTCAAGGTCAAACAAGAACCTAAGGTATGCAGTGGTTGGTTGGATGATAGTGCCCATAGGTGATAGTGAAATGGTTAAGATATCAAATGACATGGCATAGTTGTAATGTTCCCAGAGACTGGTCAGCCAACTCTCAGTGGATTCTCCAGATTATCTCCAGTAGATCTCATTGGCAGAGATAAAGGCCAGAACAATGAGATGTGGACAGAAATGATTGGGGTCTCACAGTTTTTTTTTTCATGAAAATTTTGTGCTGAATTTCCCTCTCATAAACTTGGAAAGACCCAGTTTTGGATGTTTCAGTTTTAATTATCGTGGAAACCCTGATTAAACCAACGACTTAAGTCCTTATTTATGTGTTATTTTTTATTTCATTATCTCCAGCTTGAAGCCACTGAGGGCCAGGAGGAGCCTTATATTGACTACTCTGCCAACAATGAGATGAGGAAGCTTCAGTTTTTTGGAGCAGGACCTAAGGCTGCTGTCCCTATCACTGTAAAAGGTGAAGCTAATAGCCGTCATAGCTGTCTTAGAAATATTGCCATTTGTTATTTATTGCTCCAAGACTGTCGTCTGTAATGCCGTGAAAGTTGAAGCATTAGAAATGTCTTAGAATATTGACATTTGTTATTTATTGCATCTTGTGTATCTGTAACTCCTTATTCATAGATAAATGTCATAAAGAATTCCCCTTAATGAAAAAATGGATGTGCAAAACTACAATATAGTTTTTTAATGATATTTTCAGAGGAAAAAGAGGTCAAAGAGGAGGGCAGTGGCAGGAAGAAATACACAGCAAGTAGCAAGAGTGTTAACTATGTATGTTTCACACAGTAATGGCTTATATCAGCTCTCCAGTCTTAAGCTATCCCTTGGGTTCTCCACAGTAGATATTCAGTGCTCTCATCTGTGTTACACACAATGTATACCCCTGTCAACACTATTTACTAGGGGAGATGAGGGGGTCATATTCATCAGGCGATGGTACCCTATTTAGAATCACGTGAATAAAAGTATTCTATATGTGAACACTGATGGCCAGAATGTGGTCAAAATAGTTGATATTCTTGTAAAACTGAGGGTACATCATTGAGTACTTAGTAGTAGCTGTGTTTTGTGGAGGACCTAATGATTGCATGGGACTTAGGTTGGAGGTGCTTGGATTGGGGGGGGGGGGGGGTGCTTATGGGTAAAAATGTTGGATGAATGCTAAATTTGAATGGGGGAGGATTTTGGACTGAGTTTGGAATTTATTATTTGATGACAATGCATCACTTGAGTTTGGTGTGGTCTATTCTCATTACTGTTTGCTGCGTACTGATTGTGTCTCTTGAAAAGATTTCTTATCAGCTTGCATGGAAATCAGTTCAAAGTGATGCTGTAGTTTAGATTTCACTGTCATATAGTTTTGATTTGTTTGCTCCATTGAATTTTTTAATGGGACAAGCTAAACTGAAATATTTGATGTGTGTATTTTGTAACCATGGGATGACCTCTTAAGAGGCAGCATGCTTTTGCTGAAGTATATTGTGTATTGATAGCTTAAAACACTGGCATGAAAATATCATCAATAGTAAAGAAACTAAAGAACAAATTTTAATAAATCAAGAGAATAATATAAGATGAACAATGCTATATAATAAAAAGTTAATTAATTGTTGATGGAATTATTGAAGTGTTGCAGTTAGTGTTGTATTTTTCTGTAGGCAGTGTACATTAGCCTTATGATATTACAGACCACTGTGTTCAAAATTTGTAACAAATTGGTTTGATAAATAACTACAACTGAATGTTAAGTTTGTTAGATTATGGTGGTAGGTGTGCACGTAAAAATGATTCCAGTCAGTTAGTTTTTTCAAATCTAACACCATTTACCGTGGACCTCTAGATAGTTCTAGTTCTCCATCCATCCACATATACCAAATAGTCTTAGTTTTCTATCCAACGGCTTGATTTCCCAATGTGCTCAGATTGACCTAGTTTTCTGTATAACCTTGTCGTGTTCTCAGATTGACCTAGTTTTCTATGTAACCTTTTGACCTTGCCGTGTCCTCAGATTGACCTAGTTTTCTGTATAACCTTGTGACCTTGCCGTGTCCTCAGATTGACCTGTACATGTGCCATACATGTGGTCTGGGAGATGACGAGGACATGATGTTACTGTGTGATGGCTGTGACGATGCTTTCCACACATACTGTCTGGTACCACCACTACAGGAAGTTCCTAAGGGAGACTGGAGGTGCCCTACATGTGTTGCCAAGGTGAGGAAACTACAGGGTGTGTGTGCATCTGTGTGTATTTGAGTGAGAAGATTTAGGGTGTGAAATGCAGGTTAAATAATAGCATTTTAGCATAGCTTTATATAAGCTGGTGGCACAATTGTTTGTCTATTACTAGTTATAAATTTTGAGAAACAGTTATAAACAGTTTATATTTAATTCTGCCAATTTGCAATCATAAAGCTGGTACATTTTGGAGTATTACGTAAAGGTCTCAGCTGATATTGTCCTACGCATCATGTAGCGTGCTATTTCCTGACTGGACGTGTGGTGTTATATTGTAGGAGGTGAACAAACCCAGGGAGGCATATGGCTTTGAGCAGTCTCAGAGAGAGTACAGTCTACAGTCCTTCGGGGAGATGGCTGACGAGTTCAAGAGCACTTACTTCAACATGCCAGTTCATGTAAGTAGACAGGCCATTGGGAGCCTTTCTTGTGGTAGTGGTTATAGTGTACTAAACTAAAACATGAAACAAGAAAGGTAATGATGGAAGCCACAGTCAAAATGTTTAAGTGTGCTTTAAGGCACAATGTTTTCATATTGGGTATGAAGTGAACTGTTCCTTATTCAGATTGAAGAGTTACAAAGGGATGTTTATATAATAACCAGTGTCTCTTCACTTTCAGCTTGTGCCATGTTCTACAGTGGAGAAGGAATTCTGGCGTTTGGTGAACAGTCTGGAGGATGATGTATTTGTGGAGTATGGGGCTGACATCCACGCCTCAGAGTGTGGCAGTGGCTTTCCCACCAAGGAGACCAAGGACCAGTTTCCTGAAGATGAGGTAGGTAGGGGAATTGGTTCATGAAAACAGGTTTGGAACCCGTGACATGGTCACCAAGAAGTGGGGCTGATACTGTTCATTTGATGTCAAATACTCCTCTGGGAGCAGTAAGGATAGGTTATATTTTAAATGAATCAGAATGATTTTAAAGTGCCTGTTTTAAGAGATATAAATATGTTCAGTTGTCAGCCTCTCTAGTGTCTTAGTTTTCTATTCTGATTGTGGCTACTATTTCAGGAATACATCAACTCTGGCTGGAACCTGAATAACCTTCCCATCCAGGAGAAGTCTGTGCTCAGTCATATCAATGCTAATATATCTGGGATGAAGGTGAGTGAGGAGAACCACTCCATCCACAGGGTGCATTGTTCCAATAATTTGAAATTCCGTTACTGGAATATTTGGTCAAATCGTAGTAGCATGAAATGGTCAAACTATACTCTGTATATGATGTCGATTGTTGTGGTAATTTTATGAAGAAAATTATAGTCCTGTGTGTTAATTTTATATTTAAAACATGTTTAAAAAAAGAATAGTGGCAGTTTTGATGTTAGCCAGTAAGAACAACAGCCATTGATATACATTTATATAATGCACACACATGTATTTTGTTTACTCAGGCATGACACCTCAATCATATGACATCTGGCATAGAGACATCTTATCAAACACTATGGTGATTTACAGAAATATTTTTTCTTAAATTTAAACCAAAGAAAGCCAATACCTAGAAATTGCTGTTTAAAACAAACTTCAGACTAGGTATACTCCCCCATCAAAGCCCTCAGTGGCTACCAACCACTAGCCAGTTCTAGCATTCTGTAGCCCCAGGTGTCTTGATTGAGTAGTGATGTGTGTGTGGTCTGCCTCCTTTAGGTCCCCTGGGTCTATGTGGGGATGTGTTTCTCTGCCTTCTGCTGGCACACAGAAGACCACTGGAGCTACTCTCTCAACTACATGCACTGGTAAGACTCAGGGTGGAGACAGAAGATAGGGGAGAGGCACTGGGGGTGGTGGGGAGAGACTGGTGGGTGGGTGGGTCTGGTCACAGAGATGGGAGCTTACTTTTGTTTTATTGCGGGGGGGGGGGGGGTAATTTTTTGTTTTTTTTTTTTTTTTTTTTTTTTTTTTTTTTTTTTTTTTTTTTTTTTTTTTTTGGGGGGGGGGGGG